ATCAACGACTATCTGCTCCAGCCGTTCGTGCACGCTATGAGTCAGAGCTAGTGCGTAAGCTAAGTGCACCTCAACGTGGTGATGTAGACGAGCAGTGGGATCAGATTAGGCGAGTAATGCATTCCGCAGCGAATGTTGCTTGTGGGTCTGAGGCTCAAACGGGTCGGAGGCATTGGATATCTCAGGAGTCAGTAGTCCTGATGGAGCAAAAACGGCAAGTCCCCACCTGCCCGGATCAAAAGATTTAGGCGGCAGCTACCACGTCGACTCACGAAGAGCCTCAAGAAGGACCGTGAGAACTGGTGGGCAACAATAGCCAGTGAAATGGAAGTAGCAGCCGCACCAGGGAATAGTCAAAGACTGTTCCGACTGATACGTAATACGGGAGGTCGGCGAACCACAGTTAGTGAAACAAGATGCGATAAGAGGGGACGAGCTATTCGCAATAGGGATCAACGACTCGATCGCTGGGCAGAATAGTTCAACGAACAATCCAGCTGGCCTAGTGCTAACCAGGCTGCTTCATCTCCGATTAAAGCTCCGTGTGCAGTGTCATGCGATCCTCCAACGGAAGCAGAAGCTTGGTCTTGCATTCAAGCTCTGAGGCGGGGAAAGTAAGCAGGACCTGATGAGCTCTCTCCCACTCTTTTCAAGATGGGAGGTGATTACCTCGTAACGTCTATTACTACGCTACTGCGCAACATTTGGATGCAAGAGCACATTCCATCATCTTGGGGCGAATCACTGATCGTTCCCATTTTCAAGAAAGGATCCCGAAACGACTGCAAAAACCACCTCGGGATCAGTTTGATCCCGATCGTCACCAAAGCGCTGGCTTCGGTTATACTTCGACGTCTGGCGCCTTTAAGAGAGACTAACATCCGTGATCAGCAAGCCAGAATCCGGCCTGACCGTGGATGTATTGATCACATTTTTACGTTGCGTCAGATCCTTGAGCTGCGTCATAGTCACCGTCAGCCAACGATGGTAGTGTTTCTTGACCTGAAAGAAGCCTTCGACTCAGTTGACCGCGAAGCTCTGATGGGCTCTCTTCTTCGAACAGGAATGCTCCAGAAGTACAATAACCTACTGAGGCCACTGTACTCACATATCCCCGGTCGTGTAAGGGTCTACAACGAACTAAGTAGGCTGATCGTCATCAGCAGCGGCGTTCGTCAAGGGTGCCCTCCTTCGCCGTTCCTGTTCAATTTCGTCGTAGATGAAATACTGGAGACCGCACTAAGGGGACTCCAAAACGTAGGTATTGAATGGACTGCTGGAGAAAAGCTATGCGATTTGGAGTACGCCGATGATGTCGTCTGCCTGTTTGAATGTATGGAGGACGCGCAAAGTGCACTTGATAGATTAACAAGTGCAGTGGCCACTTTCGGTATGTGCTTTGCACCTTCAAAGTGCCAAGTGCTGCTGCAGGACTGGGTTTCGTCTACTCCCACTCTGACACTAAATGGCCAGGATTTAGTTGTGGTAGATTACTTTTCCTACTTAGGTAGTTGCGTGACCAATGACGGTAGTGCAGC